TTTTTTTAGAATCTTAAGGTACTTGTTTAGACCGAGTTCCCGGCACGACCACTATTTTTCAAAAATATTTTCTTGAACATGCTGCATTTCCCCCTATGAATAACTTAATGGTTTTAATTGTGATTTTTTTTACGACTGATTATGGTTTATAAATGTAAATGAGCAGAATCTAAAAAAAGAATTGGGCATCTGTGATCTCTCTGAAAGGAAATTGAAGCTGATCAACCAAGGGAAACACTTGCTGAAATAATGCATATTAATCATGTTAGCGAAAGCAAATTTGAGAAAAGCAATAAACATGAAACGAAAGGAAAATTTTCAGTAGCTACATTAAGAACTTTATCAAGAAAATATGAAGCCATAACTGTACCGCAAAATGCACTTCACCCTGTCAAAAAGACACAAGCAAGAAAAAGTTCAACAGGATATTTGTCGATCATCAAAGGATATTAAAATTACAAAAACGTGAACAAAATGTGACAGTTTTGCTTGCAAATAGCTTTCCTGTAATGTTAGCAAAAAGTATCTGTGATTTGTGTCCTTTATTAAGGTCGCGCACATTTGGAACAATTTAGTTCAGTTTTATTGGATATTTTCTCAAATTATGAAAGACAAATAGAAAAATCCTTGAAATAGGTAAGTATATTTTCTCTTAGTTAAATTATTCACTGAAATTGTGATTTTTATCTTGTATATTGAAAATAATTATTAAAAAAAAAAAGAATTGGGGTGCGACCATTAACGTTAGTATCGAGTACACACCTGATCCCGGGCTTTCTCGCTTTAAATATTAAAAAAATAACACAAATGTTATTCATTAGAATTTTATATTCTTTTTTTATTACTTAACATTTATTCTAAATGCTAATTCTGCGAGGCTTAAAATTACAGTTCATTCAAAACCGTTTATAATATGAGTATTCATTTCAATAAATCATTTTACATTTTTGTATACATTGTCATGCACTTGGTTTTACTCTCCTTACAATTAAGCTATTATATCAAGAATAATATATTATCATTTTTTAAAAAAATAAACTCGTGTTAAGAGTGGGTACTTCAGCCAGTATAAGAACAAGTTTAATAATTATCAGTGACTTCCATGGGCTTGTCTTGAAGAGCAAAGTTTTTCAAAGGAAGGCTAAAAATTAGAAATTGACACTCAGAGTTATTTTTTGATATTTAGCTCAGATCTATATTTTGTCTTCAAAGTAGCCATTGCAGAAAGTCCGGATTCACAAAGGTATGCTGTTAAAAATGGTAATAGTATACGAAATGCTTTTGTTTTCAGTGCAGAAAATTCAGCATGCACCTCTATGCAGAATTCAAAGAGTGATTTATTACAAAATTGCCTTTTAATTTCGTCACTGTATGTGAAATCTATGAAGATCTCTTTTTCGGCAGTTGAGAGCCCTTCTGAAGTAGTTTGAAATGGATCCCTAACCCATTTGTAACTTGCTATCAATTTGCCCTCGTCTGTGTACTTGTTGATGCTTTATTATCGTCGAATGCTCGCTGTGATTTAAAAATATATCTATGATTTTGTTTTAATCCACTGCCGTAAATACTTAATACCGTGAATTATAATTAACGCGTGAATTATGAAATGTACATTCAAGAGAGATTCGGTAGCTAATCGATTCGGCCAAGACTGACTAGAATTGTACGAAGTACAGCATTTTTACATGTTTTGTGCAGACGTCTGTTAGGTTGCCTAGATTCACATGTACGTTCGCGAGGATGCCAGATGTAATGGATATGATAAAGAGCAACATAGATTAGGCTATTTTTTATAATGACATTTGTACTTTTAGAAATGGATCTCGAAGGAAATAAATCTTTAATTAAATATTATTTCTCAATCTGTTTCAATTCAAAAATTAGAGAGAGAAAAATAAAATAATTAACCTATTACTCAAAAGTATATAATTTACTTAAAATATATATTACTTAAGAGTAACATATATAAAAAATTTAATACTTGTCTTATTAATACTGAATTAAGAACAAGTTTAATAAGTATTAGCGACTTCCATAGGCTTGTCTTGCAGAGCAAAGTTTTTCAAAGTTTTTTAGAAATTGACCCTCTGAATTCTTTTTCTATATTTAGCTAATATCTATATTTTGTCTTCTAAGCAGCCACCGCATTTTGCAATATGTTCCAATTTAAAAATCAGAAAGGAAAAATAACATAATAATTATCTTATTACTTAATTTTTTTTTTTTTTGCTTAAAAGTAACATATACAAAATTTAATACTTATGTTATTAATTTGTACGGTTTATAATTAAGATCGTGTATTGTAGCTTTAGTGTCAAAGGGCATTATTATTGCATTCAGTAATTTATTAATGCATAAGGGGGGCGCGATAAAAATTGTGATTGAAAAGGGGGGCGCCAGTATTGAAAGTTTGAGAAACACTGCTGTAAGTTCATAAGAAGTGTCATTTCTTTTAAAAAATAATATTTCGATATTGTAAAAAAGTCTAATTTTTCTCTGAGCTCATTCTTTTTTTATATTTTAAAAGCTCTCATTGTTGCCTAGCTAGTATGGTGGCTATGACCCTCGGATTGTAACCGAGTGGGTTCGGGTTCGATTCCCGAGTAAGCCATGGTTGTATCTTCTTCGGGAAAGAAGTCGGTCTTTCGCTGTAAGATTCCCGTCTCAAAAGGAAAGCAGCGCACTCTTTCTTGTTATATGCTGGGATCATCATCTGTAATATAAATATGCATATTCTTCTGTTGTATTGTATGCTTTCTGTTCTTCTTCACTTGTATTTCATATATTCCCAGGATAAAAAATGCACGTTAACAACAAAAGCTCTTATTTCGCTACCCGGCGTATACCCTGCACCCCTAAATTTCGATTTTATTTTTTGATTAAATGACACTGGTGGACGTTTAAGGTTAATGAAAATCCCGGCCGTTCCAGTGTTAACAACAAAATATTCAGATTTAAACTTCTCAGGAAAACATTGATACAGAAAATTTATTAACCCTGGCAAAATGACTGATTTTCTTCTTAGATCTGGACCAAGTGGTTACGGTCATGAACTCGTAGCTGGCGTTAAGACCTTAGTGCAGGGTGGATAAGACGGCCGTGGTAGCCGAGTGGTATAGGTATCGGACCGTGGCTT